CAAATATTGAAAATATGGTTTCTGAATAACCACAAGTGTTCGAAAATAATGAGATTTCAATAAATTATATGTTATTTTATAAATTATGGGAACGGAATAATATTGTTAAAGACAATATTTTCGTCTTTAATGTGACTCTTAATATTATGCAAAATGAGGATCCTGAACCGTAGTCTGTTAAAGACTATTAAAATAGAAATGATTAGCCAAAACGGAAAGAAACCGTATAGGTGGAATTGAATTCCTTAGATAAACGAAAAGTGTTTTAGACATGTAGTTCGAACAACTGAAAATGTAATTCTTGTGAGATACAAATGAATTTTTGTACGAAAGAGAAATGAAAGTAATGAAATTACAAGGTACAAAGCTCGATTAGTAGCTCAAGGTTTCCCACAAAGGCTAGGAATTGATTATGAAGAAACATATTTTCCCGTAATGGACACAATCACTTTTAGATTTTTAATTAGTTTGACTGTGTCACAAAACTTGATATACGCCTTATAGATGTAGTAACTTCATATTTGTATAGCTCACTTATATATATAGTCTTTGAAGGACTTAAGGTGTCGGGAACAAACGATACATGCCCGAAAACCATGTTCTAAATTAAATTGCAAAGATCATTATATAGATTAAAACAATTCAAACGCATGTATTATAATTATCTTAACGAATGTTTGTTGAATCAAGGTTATAAAAATGACGATTTCTGCCCATATGCTTTCATAAAAAAAACAGATATTAGATTTGCAATCGTAGAAATTTCTATTGATGATTTAAATTTAATTGAAACTCTTGAAAAACTCAACAAAACTGTTGATTATTTGAAATGAAAGATTTGGAAAAATCAAATTTTGTCTCAAATTGCAAATTGTACATTTTGCAAATAGATTATTTTTTCACCAATCTACATATGCAGAAAATTTTTTAAAAAGTTTTTCATATAAATAATGCACATCCATTGACATCATCCTATAGTTGTTCGATCACTTACGTGATTGAAGATGAAGAAAAACCTCTTGGTGCTAAAGTACCATATCTTAATACAATTGAAGCATTAATTTATCTTGTAAATTGAACTTGACCAGACATAACTTCTTTTGTAAATTTCCTTATGAAATATAGTTCTACACCAACTCAAAAACATTGGAATGGTGCTAAACATATTTTTCGTTACTTAAAGGGTACTATTAATTTGGGATTATTTTATTCTCAAAAGTCAAGATCTACTTTATTGAGATATGCAAATGCAGATTATCTATCTTACCCGCATAAAGCTAAATCACAAACAAGTTTTTACACGTGGAGAAACAATTATATCATAGAGATCTATGAAGTAATCCTTTACAACAACGTCATCAAATCATTATGAAATTGTTACAATCCATGAAGCAGGCCGAGAATGTGTATGGCTGATAAACACAATTGTGTGCTTGCAACACACATTCTAAAGCGAACACGTGCCACTATGAATTAGATCGAGAACAAACACCACTAACTCGCTTAATCCTATTGTGGAATTTTCAAAGTTGGTAGAATAAATTCAGCAGCAATATGTTTGTTAGTACAAAAATCAATGCAAAAGCCATAAAACCCAATGACGTTATCAGTCCGCCCAGTTCGTTCGTACATGCCCTTCGCAGTCAAAAGTACCTAATCCTGTACAAGAATTGATCTCATCCTCGCTCTCTTAAACACCCTTCGAAAATGTGCTCCAGACAGCAGATGATGATCGTGGAAAATGTTCTTTACAATGTAATTTTAATATCTAAACAGGACCTGCGTTATACAGA